GGAGCTGTGATCTGCTGTCTTATACAGAGAAAGCAGTTTTCATTTTAATTAAAAAAGAAAAAGGTTGATGTAATAATAGAGAATGAAAATGAAAATACACCTCTACCCCGATATAACGCGACCCGATATAACATGAATTCGGATATAACGCGCTAAGGCAGTGCTCCGTGGGGAGGAGGGGCTTCCCACTCTGGTGGATCAAAGCAAGTTCGATATAACATGGTTTTGCCTATAACGCGGTAAGATTTTTTGGCTCCTGAGGACAGTGTTATATCGGGGTAGAGGTGTATTAAGACAATCATCAAAAAAACCCAATTAAACAGGCTATTTCGCCAAACTACTTGCATCCAATCAAGGTTACCCTGCAAATATTATTGGAGAAAAAGAGGGGAATATTTATTTATTTTCTTTTCCCACTCTCAGACGTGGTGATTATTGTTAGAGTCTCAGCACCTGGATGGGAAAACCATTCTACAAAGAAGGAATCATTTGCCTTTCTCCACCTGCACTTTATGAGTCTCCTTCTGGTTGCCAATTAATTCACTGAACCATATTCTCTCTTGTATTCTACCTCCTTTGCATCATTCTAGCTGTGCAAAGGGGCCGAAAATGTCCCACATCTCCCCAGAGACTGGGTTCAGTAAGTTATTTTAGTGACACTGAAGAGCGGATGGGGTACCTGTACTCAGATCAGGTCCTGTTGATAGTGATACATTTCTTTCCAGTAATGCTTAATTTTATAATGCACTACACCATTTGATTTTGAGATGGACTGTCCCTACAACTCCACTGTAGAATGCGTCTAGGAGGATCGGGAAATCTGGGAGAGTAGGATTTAGGAAAACCCCCAAAGTAGTTCATGCTCCATCTTCAAAAGCAGTTTTCCAACCTTTCATCCAGTGATGAACCCATTTAGTTGCAGATTCTTTTCTCTTAAGAAACTGTGACTAATCCTCAGCACTGAGAGTAAAGTGTGTGTGTGTGTGTGTGTGTGTGTGTGTGTGTGTGTGTGTGTGTGTGTGTGTGTGTGTGTGTGTGTGTGAGAGAGAGAGAGAGAGAGAGAGACGTACC